ATTTTTAAAATATTCTAATATAAGATTTTAAAAGGTTCTTATAATATTTTAATAAAATATTCTAAAAATATTTTAAAAATATTCTAGCAAATTTTAGAAAGTTCTAAGATTAAAAAAGTTGTTCAAGAAGCTTTCAACGGTTGCTTTGTCTTTCAGTAATATGTCAACTTTTGGAGAAGCTTCTTAGCATTGATTCATCTTGAAGAAAAATAGAAACTTCTTAAGAAGCTTCCTAAAATTCCTTTATCTTCATAAAATATGAAAACTTCTCAAGAAGTTGTCATGGACATATGCATGTAAGCCAATAATTACATGTATAAATAAATAGAAGCAAGTATAAATAGGTAAAAGAAAGTTAATTCTATAATATCTTCAATAAAAGCTTTTTAGAAGCTTCATAGATGTTGCTTTGATTTTATAAGTATCTTTAATTGATATTTTGGATTAGAAACATAGTCAACAAGTTGGCCATATGTCACACATGTTGTTAGCTTAAAAACCAAGCTAACTATGTAGCCCACATATAGAAAAAAATTCCTTGTAAGTCAAGGCATGTCTCCTATAAAGTCAATACATAATAGAGGTCCTGTAGAACATCGCCACATAACCCCTAGTTGGATAGTATATATAGAGACAAGAGTGAAGCCTTCTTCACTCTTGTCAACTCCTTTCTTGTTTTTAATCTAATTTCAAGAGTCTCAAATTTTCTTATATTTTGGCAATAAGCCTTTCCAGTTTCTTTTAATATATGTACTTTCTTATTTCTATTTTGTCACTCATTCTTTGATGTGGATTTCATTAGTTTATGCATCATCTTTTAGTTCATGTCCTTGACAGATTGATAAGAGTACACTTATAGTATCAGAGCTTTGTCTTGTCTTGATTAAGAGTAGATTAATCCTTTCTCATGATAAGATATAAGCATATTAGAAGTTATAGATTATCCTCTTCTAAAATGATATTATTCTTAGTATTTTTTTTGTTCTCAAGTCCTTTCTTCTACTTGTCTTGAGTGGTATTAGATATTTTTTTGAGTGTTATTATGGTAGAGCTTGTTGAAATGAAGAATGCAATAGCACAAATGTAAGAGCAATTGAAGGAGTTGATATTGGTGATGCATTAACTTAGCTTACTACTACAAGAATGAAAAAGAATGGCAGGAAGTGAGGATGTAGAGATGATTAGAGCTGCTTCAATATTTGCACCAAATCATATCCCTCTACCCATGATGGAACATCCTTCAAGTGTTAGAGAATCAAGAGTTTCCATACCTGAGAAGTTTGATGGTACAAGATCCAAATTTAAAAGATTTATCAATCAAATACAACCTGTGATTGAACTTCAACCTCAAAGCTATCCAACTCTAGAATCACAAGTTAGATTCATTGATACACTTCTCTTAGATTCAACACTATCATAGTTTTTATCTTTTCTTGAATGATGGGATCCAATATTAGATAATTAAGAGACATTTTTGGTAGAATTCCAGTCCATGTATGGAGAACATGATGCAACTCGTCTTGCAACCAACAAGATCCATATTTTACAACAAAATAATCGATTTGTAACGTTATATGCTTTACAGTTTCGACAACTTGCAACTAATATCAAGTGAGATGATATTGCACTTATTAGCCAACTTTTCTATAGATTACAATATGAAGTAAAGAAATTGATGCTCAACTTACTTGATCCTCAAACATTGAATCAAGAAATTGACTTTGCTGTAAAATATGATATTCAATTTTTTGAATTTTCATCTGAGAGTCATACAAATAGACCTCAATATTACTATAATTTGCTGGCAATACCAACATCTCCTTAACACATACATTTAGAAGCAGAGGATATGCAAATCAATGCAATACGTTTTAAACCTCTTATTAAGCAAGAAAAGATTCATCGTTATCAAGATGGATTATACTTTATATTGTAGAGAATCTAAACACACTACTCAACATTATCCAAAGAAGCGACAAAATCACAAAATGATGAGTATATCTATCAAAGAAGACAATGTGTTGAAAAATAATTTTTTCCAACTACAATAGAGACAATGCGGCTGGAATCTTATACAATTTCTAATAAAGGTCCTATCTTCTCTTCAAAACCCTCTCCTTATTTTATAATAGATGTAAATTTAAGACCTAATAATTATAAAGCCTCCACCTTGATAGATTCAGGCGCCTTAGTTTGTTTCTTAGATGTAGAATTTGTTAAAAGTCATAAAATATCATTAGTACAAAAAATCAAACTTGTTCATGTAGAAGTCATAGATAGTCATCTGTTGTCTTCTAAAGATGTTACTCATGAAACACTTCCTATAGATGTAGCAATAAATGGTCATAGTAGTTGCGTAATCTTTAATATAATTAGATCTCCTTCTAATCCAGTCATTTTAGGTTTATCATGGTTAGAAAAGTATAATCCTTGCATAGATTGGATTTCTCATATCCTTAACTTTTCTAAAAGCATAATTAAGAGTGAAATTAATCCAGTAGAAAGTCATAAGTCTAGTGCAATTAAATCTATGTTTGTAGGTGCAAGATTTTTCTTGCATGCTACAAAAGAAGAATCACCTTGTGTCATTTACGCCACACTTATTTCTAATAATGTAAAGACTTCATGTCGCATTTCCGACCAATATCAAGAATTTCAAGATGTATTTGAGAAGAAGAATGCGGATACTCTTCCAAAACATTGTCCTTATAACTGCTCAATTGACCTTCAAAAAAGAACACAACTGCCATTTGGACCAATTTATAGTTTATCACATAATAAATTAATTGAACTCAAGGAGTATATTGATGAGAATATGGCCAAGAATTTCATACGTTGTTGTATAGCATGATTTGCTATCTAAAAATACACTGGATATCTAACTATAGAGATTTTAGCTTAAACCTTTATATGAATTTTGTCTTAGCTTCCAAAACTCCTTTAATTTGCATAAAACTCAAAATATAATAAAATCCTTTTAAAACATATTTTTCCCGCCAAGGATTTTGTCGTCTCAAACTTTAGAAATTCATAACTCGTGATTTGGCTATTTTGTTTGTCTCAAATTTATAAGTAAGTAGAATTCACCTTTAACTTTTACCAAAAAAAAACCAACTGTAAATTCATTCCCAATCTTTTGGCATCTAAGAAATCCTAGCACATGCTCAAAACCTTAATTTACAAGCACGTGAAAACTATTTTCTTAATATCTCAAGAATCCAATATTCAAATGTCATCAAACTTTTGTACAAAGTTTATTAACATGAATTTACACATCTCCTAAAATTTTGTGCCAAAACCTTCTCAAATTACTCAAGTTATAGCTCAAGATACAACCACTAGTAAATCAGGTCACTTACTACCCTTAGATTGCATGTGTTGAGTTCAAAAACCAATAACTCCTTCATTTGAATTTGGAATCTAGTAAGTAGTATGCAAAAAGTGTAGCCGCAAAAGTGCTCTCTCTAGTTGTAGTCATCAATCCTCAATTTCTCTCCGTATGCATGCAATATGTCAAAAATAGTGACAATAGCTCTCAAATCAACACCTTAACTTTGAGCACCTATGTTTCTTTCATATAAACTCCAAATTATACAAAATTTGCATCAAAACCATAGCCAAAAATCTAAACTTACTGACTATAGCCTTCAAAGCTCGAATGGTGCCGAAAAACTAACCCTAATCTCTAATATGGCCTCAAGCAGCCTCCTCAAAGCCTAGTGGTCATGATTTTTGACCAATAGGAATGGAGATTTTCATCATCTATCTCCATTCATCTATATTGGTGCCTTAATTACTTCCTTTGCTACTAAAACCCTTCTTCAATCCTTTTTCTTATAAGATTTACATAATTTATGCTCTAAACACCAAATAAAAGAACCAAAATAAGTTTTCAAAGGTCACCAATGTTTAACAAAGGTGACTCGAAATATTTAGAAGTTACTATTAACCAAAACCAATCTTAAAAGCCAATATCAAAAGAAATTAAAGTTATACAAATTCTATAGTAATCTTTTTAAATAGCCTCTTTTTAAGATAATAATCAAATTATATTCTACAACTAAGTAAAATCTACTAACATGGCTCTCACTATGTTACTTAGTAAATTATATATTAAGTACATAATTATATTATTTTCATATAGCAACCAAACCACAACACAACAATGTCATTCCAAATTACTAGCAGGAACTCTAATCTTATTTGTAAAGAAGAAAGATGAGTCATTACGGATGTGTATTGATTATCAAGGACTCAATAAGACCACCATCAAGAATAGGTACCCTCTACCTTTGATAACCTGACTTCTTGATCAACTAAATCAAGTTAAGATCTACACAAAAATAGATCTACGAGGAGCATACAATCTAGTATGTATTAGAGAAGGAGATGAATGGAAGATTACATTTCAAATTATATATGGGCATTTTGAATACAATGTCATGCCATTTGGACTTACAAATGCACTAGCAGCTTTTCAATATCTAATGAATGATGTTTTTCAAGAGTTTTTAGATGATTTTATTGTGTGTTATCTAGACAACATCTTGATCTATTCTAAGAACACAGATGAACATGAACTTCTTGTTTGTTGTGTATTACAAAAATTAAGAGATGTGAGACTCCATTAATCGGTGGGTATAAAGAGTTGTTTTTCTAGTTTTTGAACTAGATTCCAACGTTTGAGCATTGCGGAATCAACTCAAGACTTGAAGAGATCCTTAGCATCTGTGGGGAGATAAGTGTGAAACTAAAAGATTCTACATGATTCCAATGAATGATATGCATCTGCTACATTATTGAAATTACTAAGAAAAGCTAAAAAATCCTCTCCTAGCATATAATTGTTAAAAGACAATGCGGGAAGGCAATCCAAGTTTATTCCCATGTATGATAGAAGAGCATTCTAGGAGCCACCATGTTTTGGACTTGTAATGCCCTAGGATGTGTACCTATGATGCAGAAGGTGAGATCGTGGCCTAAACAATGTAGCCATGATAGGGATAGTTGTTGATGTGGTGCCATTCATTGATGAGAATATAGGGAGTGTTGCTTTGTTGATGTGGTGCCATTCATTGTTGATGAGAATATAGGGAGTGTTGCTTTGCTCCTGGGTATTGTGGACGGCCTGATGCTTTGTTGTAGAAGTTTTGTTTTTTCCTTTGGTGTCATAGTAAGAAGAGCACGTAGTAGGATGTCCCCGGAGTGAGCATGTTGCGACTTGTCACCTTGGCATGTATCTAGTTCATCATCCTTTTCTTAACCGAAGGAGGTAAGTGTCAAGGCTTCTATCATTGTCAAGAAGCCATTGGTGGTGGAGAATCTTGGTTGTGGGGGTTCTTCGTCTAATGCCCGTAAAACAAGTAATTTGTCGGGTCTGGAGCTCATGTGTGCTGCATCAATTCCACAGTGTTGTATTTGCTCTAGGGATGGTATGAGCACACCATACAGAGGCAGGAGTCTGCACATCTAACTGTGGAAATGTTTTGGTGAATAAAGCACTGTCTCGTTGAAAGAACCCTCGTCAGGTTTTTCGCCAAGCCGTCAAGTGTATGTACTGCAGTTCTTCGCAGATGTTGAGCAAAATATCATAGGTCGCAAAATCAGTTGCCTCGAAATGGCTTATGTCACAATGTTTGGTGTGAAGAAGATCTAGGATGCCTGGGATAACACGTAAGTTGTTGCACCTCCACGTAGCACGTGAGCCTGGGGAAGGTGGTTGGTTGGCGCGGGGAAGGAGAGTTCTGCAAATCTAAAACAAATGATAACAGACTATAGGACTAAGCAGGTGCAATATGGAACTCTTGTCAAGTGGAGTGTTGCGCTTTCCTAGCTGCCAATTGATGGATAACTTGCCTAGGTCCACTTGAGTCGTGTTATCCACCAGTGTTTGAAAGGAAGATGATACTCTGAATTCCACGACGTGTAGAATTTGCTTAGTGTCTTTACTGGGTGATTGCCTCACTTCATTGTCCATCAGCAAGATGGTGTGTGTTTGTTGACGGTGACCTTCCAGTTTTAATGACGCCGTTTGCTTCTAGCATTCCGCAAGCTAGGATAAAATTGACGGTGGTGATTGTTGGCGATGAAATTCTTCTAGATTGATGAGTTGCAGCACCGTCTCTAGATGTAGTTTGGCGACTCGCTTCTTTGCCATATCGGAGCTCTCGGGTGGAGTAATGAACTCGTCCTCATCCACTCAATGTGCCCTTTGAGCCTATTGGGCTGAATGGTCTTCACTTGTTCGCATATGATTCAGTGTCTCCCATACTGCCTGGCTGATGCAATCTATGTTTGTCTCGTCCAACCAACGTCCTCAGTCCTTGACATTCTTTCAAAATCACATAATTCACCTTTCACAAGTACCCGGCGTCTCCAACAAAGACTTTGCCAGACGCTAATCCCGTCGAGGTGAGATAGTCATGCTCATGGTAAACCTTCTTGGGGAAGAGTTGTGGACAAGAACTCACACAAGGTGGTCGTGAGACTTGGTCAAGTTCATTGGACCTAACACATGCGGCCCTAGCCGCGCCGCTAACAACCCTAAACGTGACGCTGACAACCTATGGACGCGACGCGGGGTCCCATTGATATCCTCAACCTCATGCAGGTAACCACTTAGATGGACTCCCAAATACCAACTGTGGCAGGTTTTAATTTCTTGTTTCATAATGGAATAACATCAGAGATTAGTCGTGCCCTCCGCCTAAGGGGGAGGATCACCCCATATGATAGGTGGAAACAGGAAAACGGCCAAGCCTAATTCTTATCCCTACAATTGGTGGCTGAGGAATGATGTCATTCGATAAAAAGCACTGTGAGGTTTTGTATACATGGCAAGCATGATTCGTGATAACAGTCACTCCGACTGTCATTGAAATGTGTTCGTTTCAAATCGTTCTGCGCCTTCAGCATTCATAATTACCGCAGTCATCTCAACACTTCATGAATGCATGCCGACCTTGAGTTCTCTTATTCGAAGACCGGAATTACAACAGCATTCCAGTCCACGAATTTTCATTTGGATTGCACATTGGATCAGGTCTTGAATTTGTTCCTTGCAAGGAGAAACAGACGGGGCAGGCAGTATTATTGAATATCACATCAAAAGAGTGCAATTTCCAGTTGTGCTGATCGCAAGTGCCACGTTCCTATGAAGATGTGGTAAAGGATCCTCACAGGGTTTTTTGAAGTTGCGAATGACTTTTTAGTAATCACCTAAAAAATTCGTAGAGTCTAGATTAACAGCTCTTTGACATCATTTCTACCACAGGAACTGTAGTCTCCTTGGAATTTCAAGAACAAGGTATTGAGTTCTGCAGTAAAGATAAGGTTGGTTGAATTCTTCCATAGAAGTGCGTACCATGCAGATTGTTGGCTGGGAATGCTTAACATTTTCATTGAATTCAATCAGAGTAGCTCGAAATTGCGCTGAGATCGATAGCAAGTCTCTTCAACTTAGAGATCTCACGTCTGGAAACCTAAATTAGTTGTTAATGAGTAATTGGGTCATCCTTCACATCAACCATGATCATGTAACTGCCATTTGCACCCTTTTGATTGCACCTATTCGTCTCCCATCTGCCTCTCTCTCATCTAAGAGTGCGACCTTTCGCCATCCCTTTCGACGCGCCTGCATCACTCTCCTAAAAAATTCTTTCTCTATCAACGCCGCATCGACAGTTGCGAATCGCTACGCAAGGCCACCGAGCGAAAGTGAGCGCAAACGGTCTCTCGATTGAGTGATGTCAATGTTTCGGACATTATTACCGTTGGCTGAATTAAGCACGAGAAGTCGATGAAGACGAATCCCCATGGTGCCAGTCGCAATGCAGACACAGTCGTTCCGGCGCCGACTTGGCACACCTGAAATTTGCGTTGCACGAGGAGCAAGGAAGAAGTGCAGGGCCAGACCGGCTAGAAATCGAAAGAGGAGGAATGCTTCACAGATTCTCGAATGCTTTAGAAATGCTCCAGGAATGACAACAGGCATTTGCTAAGCGCAATAAAATAAAAATAAAAATTGACCACAGGATAATAAAGCTGAGATGGTGCTAGCATCACCACTTCAAGCATTTCCCTACACAATGTGAGGCGCTTGAGTATGGAAACAATCCTTCACTCTTGTGGCACTGACATGAAGGAAACGTAGAACATGGAAGCGTGTTCATCTATTGCGGTGTAACAACATGAGTAGTACATCGCAAGGATTGTGTCTTGAAGATAGCGGCCATGAACGAACATCACTTGAGCAAGTGGCAGCTATCGCAGTCGCAGACGAGGGACTAGGAGAAGGCTATGCAGCCGCGGCAGCGACCACGCAGATGGAATCTGAGCAGGGAGACTCGTCCATACAACTCGATGGAGAGCTGTGGGGATCGCTTCCCGAGGACTTGCAGGACCGGATTCTGGCTTGGCTGCCATTCACCGCTTTTGCACGAGCTAGCACCGTCTGTAAACGGTACCTTACCGTCAAAAACTTCGTCATCGTAGCTTTTCTAAGTTCCTCGCAAGCCTGCGTCGCAGTACCCAATCTTGTCATTGTGGTACTAAATAGATGGCAGATTGTTTCACCCTTGCCACTATCATGCCTCAATAAAATCTTTCAAATTGTGCTCATTGCTCGCCACGATTGATAAGTTCTTGCATCAGGTCGCACTTTCTCGCTCTTTGATGCTCTTTTGACGTGAAGGGGTGAGAGCTTAAATTTCACTTTGATGAACTTTTGGGCACTTGCTTATGCATCTGAAAAGCATTGATGCAATGGTTTGAGTTTGTGGCATCTGTGTACTTTTTTATTTATTTACTTATTTCGTTGTGTTTTTTTTATATTTTGTCTCGCTAGGTGGAACTCTGTTATGTACTCCCATAGTTTCCTGGAAATGTATCAGCGAGTGCCATCACCAGAGCCATGTTTCTTGATGTTTGAGGCCAAGGATCGCAGTATGTGCTCTGTGTATAACCCTGCGTCCAATCGCTGGCACCGGATTCCCTTCACCTTTTTTCACTATGAGACTAAGTTCCCTTGCGCCGCTGCCGGGGGTCTGCTTTGTTTTTGTGGCGTGAGTGCCTACCCCAGCTTGTCGGTGTGCAACCCCTTGACTCGCAGGTATCACCACATCCTCAAATCCTGCCTGTTCGGCATTCTTTCCACATTATAGATGCAATTTCTGATTGAAGATTCAATTCCTTGTTCTCATTGTGGTGTGCTCATTTGCCTCTGCTTGACCATGCATAGTGATCCCTGGTTGGTACTATTCTGCTTAGATTTTTCATGGAAATTCTCACCACTGGTCAGTGAAGAAGCCCGATGACTGGTATTTGAAGACTGAAGATATCAGGGATGAACAAAATAAAATAAATATTAATAATACGTCAAGTTCTGCTAGATAGCAATTAGAAGGATCTTTCGTCGTTTTTTGGAACAATTCATTGCGATTCTTGAAACCTGCGACGGTGCAAAGACGGGATCCAGAGTTTAGGGTTTGGCAATATTATTATGCGATGTTTTTCTCTGTCTAAGATGTTCCAGTAGACAGACAGGGTCGTAGGAGTCAAATTCTGCACATCTAAAGACAGCCAGTAGCTGTGGCTAGCGAGTGAAGTTTTCAACGAAGTATGCGAACATGCTCATGTATTCCATCAAACTTTGAATCAGCATAGACACTCGCTCTGATATAAATCACGAGTCGTTCATCATCTCCTACCGCCAGGCCTGAATGGTGAACAAATAACTGCCAAAAATAATTTTCAGCATTTGCGCCGTGCGTTCATTTTCATTCATAGCACTAGCAAGTTGACCTTTAACTTTTTCCAGCCTGCTGTCATAGATGGCGAGAGCTGCCCCCCATGTTGCACAAGCGGTTCCCGAATCTCGTCGGTATGGTGGTCGAACCACAGACACGAGCATACAAGATCGTGGTGGCTGGGGACTACTACGAGGACAACGTGAGGACGGAGGTTTACGACTCCACGTCGAACACCTGGCGCATAACAGGGAACCACTTGCCAATAGCAAACTACACCCTCCGCAACGCATTCTGCAACGGCTTCCACTTCTGGGTCACCCGTGACCCATACGGAGTCATCGCGTTCAACATGCAACACGGAGTCTGGAGTGTGGTCAGGGCTCCCATGCCATCCTTTCTCACTTCACCGCACCTGGTGGGATGCCAGCGGCGTCTGCTCATGGTCGGAGGGCTGAAGAAACGCACCTCCCCGAAGAATATCCGGATCTGGGAGCTGGAGCAGAGCACCATGATGTGGGTGGAAGTAGTGCGGATGCCGCACACGTTGTGCAAGCACTTCCTCAAGGACTCACGCAACGGGGACTTCATGTGCGTGGGCCACAACAACCTGATCTGCATCACCAGCTACAAGTGCCCGCTTGCTCTGATCTACGACTTCTCCAAGCGGTCCTGGCGATGGGTACCCAGCTGCCCTTTACTCACAGACATCGAAGACTACAGGTCCACAATTGGGTTCCCGTTCAGTCCTCGGCTCGATGCTGCGGTTTAATCCGGCGCCACTCCGGTCAATTTGTATAGATTCTGCAACAGCACTTGCTCGGTGCCTGACACACCGACACCGCACCGCATCTCCGTGTCCACTCGGCTACCCTTCACCACCATCAACACCAAATCAAACCAAATTCTCCTGTTGGAACACACGATTCTTTTTCTTTCGAAGTGTCAGATTGGGTGCTCTTTGCTGGTTCTACTCGCCGCTGTGTGGTGCAACTTTGCAGTCCCTGGTTCATTGAATGCTTCGACATAACTTGCTTATGCTTCATACTGATCTAATCCAGTTGTGTCTGAGAGAACAAGTTTCTTGGCTTCTTAACAAAACAAAGCCTGGCTTGCTCTGTGAATAAAGTGATAGAAGATGAGATTGTTTGATGTTCGGCTCAAGCAGTTTCTGTGTTTGTGATGAGAGGTCAATTGTGGGTCAAAATCAACGATTTGTTTTTGTGGCGAGGTATGTTTGATTGTTATTATAACGTATTTGAGTCTACTTTGGATGGGATATGTATGTGTGTATATATATATAATTATTTATTTATATATTTATTTATTTATATATTTATTTATTTAAATGTTTTGCTATCTTTGAAAGGTTAATCTTATGTACTTCATTTAACCTATCATGTAAGAATAGGCTTTCTTGTCTTGATGCATCTTAAGTAGCAATGAATTGTTTGAAAAGTTATTTATTTAGAAAAAATAATAATCTAAGTTGAGTGCATATTACTTATTTTGAAACCACCATTGTTGGTTAGTCTATAATATGTTATGTTCTAAATTTAAATTTTGAATTCTTCTTTTTTATTTCATTTTTTTCTTTAGTCTGTTTATATATAATATTTTTTTGATGATATGATATTATTTAAAATATTCTTTAAAACTTGGTAATCATCTTTATCTAATTAAAGTATATATCACAAAATATATAATAAGAAGAAGAAGAAGAAGAAGAAGAAGAAAAAGTTTTAATTTGATATTACAAGTTAAGCAACTAATATGTTTCATTATGTGTATGAGCTATTTTTAAAAAAATACAACAAAAGAAAAGTGAAACATGTTTCTATTCTAATTTATTACAATAAATATATATATAATACTATATATATTAAAATAATTAATAAATAATATTATTTTTCAATTGAATCATTTTATTTTGCAAAAAAAATTTGTAGATATCTTGCAACAATCACTTTAACCTCAAGAATTTAATTATTTCCGACAGACATACAAATAAGACATTAACCACCGAATAGTATTAATTGAATTTTTTATATTGTAAATGTGAATCAAAATTTTAAATTATTTACATCTAAATTGGCTATTTTAAATACCTATTAACCAAGTTATTTGCTAATTTTATGTTGCCATATAGAGTGCAATTTGGTAACTTTATTAACATAAATTCAATTGAGCTTATTCAGTTATCTAAGTAGTTACAAGGTTTTTAAGAATAAGAATATAGTGAATTAATTAAGATTTTATGAATTACTTCAACATAGATATATACATATATATATATATATATATATACTTTTGTTTGAATTGAAGCATTACAACAAGAGGCATTGTACCTTAAAATCTATCCAAATACACAAGTAGAATATAACTTATGTCAAAACTATATTTTGCTTTATGTTATCTAATTTATTTATTTTAAAATCTAATGCATAAGTTGTGTTGGAATAAAATATAAATTATTTTAAAAAAATCAAATAAAATCTATATTTGGATTAAAAGATATCTAATATGTTAAAAATACTTATTACATGCAAAACTATAACCAGCCACCTATACTTTATTCCAACACAAATTAAATAACCAACACATCATTATTTTTTAATCAACTAATTTTGTCTCCTGTAATTTTTCCTTGCTATCTAATTTAAAAAATTAAGAGCCAATATTATAGTTTGACTTTAAAATGTATTATGGTTATCAACACTAAGGATTGATTTTGGAAAAACCAAATTGTTAGTTATGTTGCTTATAAAAACCAAGCATGCTTAACATGACATTTTATTTTAATCTTTATTTTACATAAAGAGAACTTGTGCCAATCAAGACAAATCATATTGTTCTATATCTTATTCTAAATTTGAAAATCTTAAACAAAAAGTATTAAATTATGAATTTTAATAAAAATATATTTTTTTCTATTAGACATACACACATCCGTAAATGTATGCATGCATAAATACATAAACTTAAACATCTACTTCAAATTTAGTGTAAAAAATTTTAAAAATAAAAAAACAGTTTGTAAAGCCATTTTTTCATATGATTAGATTACAAAGGTTTCCTTGCTACACCTCAAAAAAAATTAATGAACGTGGCTGCAAACAATCAGTTTTTTTTATTGTAATCAATAAAAAAAAATTACATATTGTTTTTTTAAGTCTAAAATTAACAGTAATCCTTTGAAAATAATTTATTTATTTAAATCACAATTTCACCATAATTTAATTCAAAATATAACTGTTGAAAATGAAATATTAACAATCACAAGTATCAATAAGAGAAATTAGAAAATAATCCAACTGGTATAGTAGCATGTGATGTTGAAATATTGTAGTTGAATGTCTTTATGATTGATTTTAGCATAATATATTTTTAATAAGTGTCAAATGACCTTGAAAATTGATAAGAATTATAGCTTCTTATTTTTGGTAGAACAAATTATTTCTGTAAAAACCAGTCATTTTATAAATTTTTGGCTATTATACATGTACCCTTGATATGTAAAAAGAGAAAAAAACAAACTGTAAAAATTATTTCAATAAAAGACGGAATTTAGGAATCTAAAGTATATTTATCATAAATATAATTTTCATTAAAAATTTATTCTATTGTAGTTTTTGAGTAAATCAAATAATTATATTAGGTTTTCAAAAATATTATAGATTTTGAATTGTATTTTAGAGAAAGAAAAGTGATATTTTAGTAAATAAAATAGAATTGAAGCCTTAATAATAAAAATAATAATAGAGTGAAGCTGTGCATATTTGTGATTATATCAATTATGTTTGAATTGTAATTGTATGGATATGCAATTTAAAGAGGATTAAAAACATGGTCGAAATTCAAGCACATGATCTTGAAAAACTATGCCCTATTAACAAAACTACAATCTAAAGAACTTATCTTGTTTCCTATTGTTGGATGAAACTAATAAATGGGACGTGTAAGGAAACTAATTTGAATGCATTTTAAATTCTGAATTGTAAAATAAAAAAATAAATACATCTTTCAGTAATTATTTGAGTAACTAAAGGTTTGATATAGAACACAAGATAACAATTTAAAAATCCAATTACACTAAACCACCACAGTTTGAATTCTCAAGTTTTGGAAGAGGGGACGGTGCTTCAAAATATCAACAAATACTTTCTTTTGTAATATCACTTTTCTTCATGAAAGATAATTCAAATACTGTGGCTTTGATGATACAGTCACATTATATCATCAAGATGAACATTTGAATAATAGCAAGGAATGAGAAATGACCAAAAAAATACTATAAAACTATAAATAAATAAATAAATAATAACTGTGCTATTCAATGCTAGAGATGAAACGATAAAAAGGCTCATGTAATTTTGAATGAGTACTGTATAATGTGTATATATATATATAAAGATAAAGATATGAATAGTATGCTCAAAATGCCTTTCAACGAATCAGATGTATAGATAGATTGATAGTAGTTTAGAAGATGCTTCATGATCATTTATTCATTTTAAAAAGAACTTGATTTAGACGACATACACCATTTTAATCTTAACATATTATTCTTTGATGAACTGTTACTGATTAAAGCTCTAATTGTACTACCTATGAAATCAAAACAAGTCTTAAATTACAGATTTAAACCTACACCAAAGTACACTATTTTTCACAAAGCGAGCAAATACTCGTGCAAGAATATTTGTATATATATATAGAGAGAGAGAGAGATAGAACAACGTTCCACTTCCATATAAGCACTCAAAATCAATAAAGAAAAGCAGAATCGCCCAATTGGATTCAGTGCACCCAAATTAAGGTTTTGGATTGTAATCCCATGTAAGTCCAAACCTTTCTAATTCCATATTTTACAGTTCATCGAAATCCAAATTTTGGTTTTAATAACCAAAATTAATGCATCCACTCCAAAAAAGAAAAGGAAACAAAGATAGAAAAAGCAAACATCTTGTTGAGATCATTAAATGTAGCCGACGCTCTCCATAATATTTACTATACACTATAGTAATTACTATAGCTACAATATTTAGAGTCTAGTGGAGAAGTACTATTTATCCTCTCCTCTTTTTCTCTTCTTGTATACGAGACACAACTAGATCAATAGATTTTGTGTGTGCGAAGCTCTCTCTCCTTAAAAACCTTCTTGTGTGTATGACTTACTACTACACTTGTGTAAGTGTATGACTTACTATTACTCTTGTGTCTTTCTAAAACTTCTCAACACGTTATCAGCACGACTCTCTTCTACACACTATCACAATTTTTTTTTTTTTGCTCTAGTCTTTGACTCTTCAAACCTGTTGCTACCCTTTCTCAGTGTCTGCCTCATGATATTGTTCTTCTTACTCGCCCCTTACACATTAGCTTGCTTAGAGCACTTGTTCCACTCTCTGCCTTACTTGCTTAGAATACTTGATCCAGTCCAACTCCACCCCAGCTTGCTCTGTGCTCCCTGCTGTGCCCGCGCCTCCTGCCGAATTGCCATCAAACAGCCGCCGAGCTACCGCCAAACCTGCCACTGCCGCCGCTGTCATAATGTGTGAAGTCTTGCTTGAGAATGCTCTGGGCACCTGACTGTAGAAGGAAGAATAGAAATTGCGATAACAAAATCCTAAATAGAATACTAACAATGCTCTAATTAGACTATAATAATGGTAAACAAACGTAATCCAATTCAAAACAACTCAAAGAAATTTCAAACAAACAATAAAATTCTTAAAGAAATATTAGAATGATCACAAATTTTACTCAAATATATGTCAATTCAACCTTAATTTAATTCTAGTTAAAATCCTATTGAATTACACTCAACTTTAGACCAAACCTAATTAAATCTTAAACCCTAATAATTCCTAAACCCTAAGTCAAATCCTAAACAAATCTTAAATTAAACCATATTCCAAACCCTAAACCCTAAACCAAATCCTAAATCAAACCCTAAACCAAACCCTAATCCAACCCTAAATCCTAAACCAAACCTTAAATCAAATCTTAACCAAACTCTAATCCAAACCCTAAATCAAATCCTAATCTAAATCCTAATCCAAATCCTAATCCAACCCTAAACTCTAATCCAAATCCTAAACCCTAAACCAAATCTTAAATCAAACTCTAATCCAAATCCTAAATCAAACCCTAAACAAACTCTAAACCCTAATCCAAATCCTAATCCAAACCCTAATCCAATCCTAAACTCTAATCCAAATCCTAAACCCTAAATCAAACCTTAAATCAAACTTTAACCAAACCCTAATCCAAACC